AATATACATTAATTAAATTAACAATCAATGAATATTATAGCTAAATATAAAGAATTCGAAAAAACTCTTGAAAACATAGTTACATATAAGGATTTAAGAAAATCAATTAGATAGAGTTTCAAATTTATATTGAAGAATAACTTTACTATCTATTATCTAGATGAAGATAATGATAAAATTACAATATCAAATTAAGAAGATCTAGATGTAATTCAAGTAACTCTTTATAATTATAATTAGAATACTGAGAATTTCGAAATTATTGTTGAAGAAATAGATGATGCCTCAGAATTGACAGATGATTCCTTTTAAAAACTTGATAAAAGTGTCAAAGAAACAGTTAATTATTTTAGAAAATTAAGCAATGGTCATGCAAATAATGATTCTAATAGTCCAAAAATTATATTATAATAAGAAATGGAATAGGCAAAGGAAATAATTGAGACAACAAATAATACATAAGAAATTTTAGACAAAAAAAGGCAAAGAGTAATATAAGAAATAACTACCACTATTGATCATATTCGTTCAGAAATACTTAAAATTGAAAATGATGATACAGAAAAAAGATTAAATGAAAAATTAGAAAAATTATAGAAACCACAGATAAATCCATCATCTCTTAGTAAAGAATTAAGTGAACTACCAATTATTTAATAAATTGAATAAGCTGAAAATAATATAATAAACCTTAATAAAGTTGAAAGGGAAGAATTGAAAAGAAATTATAACAATTTAGTAAAATAAGTTACTAATATCATCTCAAGTAGATAAAAAAATTAAGCTACTTAAATTGCTTTAACTAAAGAGGTAATAAAAACAGAATAGAAATTGAAGTTACAAATTACTAAGACTAATAAAAAAAATTAAAGATTGTTAAAATAATATAATGGATTATTAAGTTAATATTAAAAAAAACTAAAAGAGGCTGAAAATAAGAAATATAATTTCGAAAAGATTGAATACATGAATAAAGAGCAATTAGAAAACTTTTTAGATAAATAAATGAAGGAAGAATTAAAAGCTAAATAAGAAAAAATAGAAAAATTAAAATAAAAAGAAGAGATTATCAACATAGAAAATCAAAAAAATGAATAAGAAAAATTAAATGAATGTGATTAATTTGAAGATATAGATTGAAAAATATCACTACATTATGCATATATAATAATTATCTAATAATTTTCATATTTATAATGCAATTGCAGCTTATAAAACTGATAAAGCCTTTTCTTTGGCTATTTAAAATTTTGGTAAATTTACTGGAGATTCTAATTGCCATCTATTTTTATAATGAAGATATTATAAGACTATTTCAAGTATATCTGCTGTAAAATCTGATATGATTTATGTTTCTCCTTTCATATCTGCATTTGATATCTGTTTTTTAAAAACTTCACTTAATCCAGCTATTTCTTTGGCAACTATGAATTCAATCCCATTAGATGATAGAATAGTTATGTAAGCAGATGACATTTATATTAAATTATTTAATATATATTTAAGAAAAAGAGAGAATCAATTAAATTATCATTTTTTAATACAAGCTTCTGGATTATAACAATACTCGTTGAATTATTCTTATTTATATTATTTACAATACCACAAAGAGTTTTATTTCGGAGCAATACGAAATTTTTCTCATTTTTATCATCTATCGTATCCTCAGTAATTCCTTCATAACCTTTAAATTTCTTAGGATAATATGGTGGATCATATTTTTTTTTAATTAATGATTCCCAATCAAACGAACTAAACCATGGATGATTTTTAACATCTAAAGGATTATTTGATCCTAATCTATTTTCAGGTTTTCTTTAGATAAGCTAAAAAATGCAATTAAAAATATACTTAATTTATAAAATCACCAGCTTCGATTGACCAAGCAACAGGTAATTATGATCTTTTAATCTAAACTTGTTTAGATAGAATTTATTCTCTAATCTCTTGTCTAGATTTCCCAACATAAGGTCTTTTTCCAAGCATACATTCATGAATAATAACTCCCAAAGCAAAAAAATCAACTGCAATACCATGATTTTATTTGCACATAACTTCAGGTGCCATATATCCAGGAGTTCCACTTGTATCTGCAGAATTTTCTGGTCTCCATACTCTTGCAATTCCCATATCTGTTAATCTAAGATAACCCTATTCATCAAAAACTAAGTTTTCTGGCTTAAGATCTCGATGGATTATTCCATGTTAATGGAGATACTCTAAAGATATAATTATACAAGCAGCAAAAAACTCTTAAAGTATTGTCAAATATTTTACATGATTCTTCCTCAGAAAACCTTTTGTTTTTACAAAGATGATATCTCAAATCACCTCCAGAAAGGAGATCAAGCACTAAATATAAATTCTCTCTATCTTAAAATGCTGAATGCATATTCACAATAAAAGGATGATGCAATTATTTTAATAAACTCATTTCATTTAATACTGATGTTACACTCTTTTTTTCAATTATTCTAAAGTATTTTAAAACAATACTTTGCTTTAGATAATATTTTCATAGCATAAAGTTGATTATTTTTTTTTCGTTTTACTTTGAAGACCTTACCAAATCCACCTTTGCCAAGTATATCTAAGATTTCGTAATTTCTTATTGATTACACTATTTTAAAAGATTAAAAATACTTGCTTCTTAAAATTCTTCTTTTTTATCAATTACATTACAATTACCCATTTTTCTAGATTTTATAATGATAATTATTTTATTATAGAATTTATCTATTAAATTTTATATATTCAAATATCCTTCCTAAAACTAAGATAAATAAACTTAAATATATCTCTTAAAATTTGAAATTAAGTGAAATAGAATACCTTAAATACAAAAGAGAATAATTTTTAATAATAAAAATATGTAATAAATTAATTTTATTGTATTTAAATTAAATAATCCAAATATGAGTTTTTTAACAATAATAAATCAACGTCCTCTCCCTCTCTTCTTTATTGGTTAATAGATTTCTTCTCCTTCTAAACTATCCTCCTCTTCAATTTTTTATTTTGAAGTAGATCCCCTGCCCTTCCCTTTTATTTTAGAACAATCATCACTATCACTTTCTTCTTGTTTACCTCTGCCTCTTCCTCTTCCTCTACCTCTACCACCTGCCTATCCTTTAGATCTAGATGGCATATTAGAGCATTCTAGACTTACATTACTCATAAATAAATTAACAATATCTCTATATTTTTCCATTCCTTTAAAATCTGGTTAAAGTAAATCTTCAGGTTCTTCAATATTTTACTCTTACAATGCCAATCCTTATAAATATGTATAAAATCTATATAAATAATTTATTATTACTTTTATATGGATGGATCTTCAAAATTTGAACAATCAAAATCTTAAATTGTTAAAGCATTCACTAAAATCTTAGCTGCATTCAATGTTTATCTTGTAATATCAGCTCCTTCTTATTTGACTGAAGATAATCCTCTTATATCATCAGCATAAGGTAAAAATATAAGATGTAATCCTGGGGGTGTTTAAAAATGATTTTCATCATATTATTCAGCTTAAGGAAGTAATGCACAAAATCTCACTTAAGATCCTTATTTAGGAACTAATCTAACAATTCCTATTTTCTCTTTCAATATCATTTATTGAATTAATGCATCAAAAAATTATGATGATCCATTTACATGTTCATCATCTGGATATAAAAAATAAGATGCTCTATAATTATGATAATCTTTTAATGCACTTGAAGATTTAAAACCAATTAAAGTCATTCCAGGTTTTTCAAATCCTTTTATTTTAGCCATATATTCTTTTGGAATTGCTATTTTTTCATTACCCAATATAAGATGAGTAGATATTTATTAAGGGAAGAGTGCTTGACCTGTTTCTTCATCAATAAATTATGCTTTCTTTTTAAGTTATTAATTGTATCTCCTATCTAAGGGTTTTCCAGTTGGTTTTTTAGCTTTATTTACTAAACAATATATTTTTAATCCAATTTTAATATCATCTATATCCATAATTAATCTATTCAAAGCTCTTTTTTTAAATTCTTTTTATTTAATTCTTTAATGTAAATCCATAATTTTAGTTGATGTATCAAGTACAGCATTGTTAATTTCATCCAAATCAACAGTTATGATATCACCATAAAATCTGGCAATTTTGAATTCATTTTAACTTGGTAATGGAAATAGTTCAATCTATACATCTGCATCCTTTAATTATTTGGCATATTTCAAAGCTGATGATCTAGCATTCTAATCTTTAAAATAAGGTAAATCATCTGGAGTGAATAAAAATATACGCATATTAAATTTATTCTTATCTCTAAAAAATATTAATAATATGTTTACAATTCTTTGAATTCATGATTACATAACCATAAACATTCATGAAAATGTGCATTATTACCTAATTGATAATCTTTTTCAAAATTTTGCTCTATTTTTAAACAATTTTTAATAATATCAGCAGATGGTCCATCTAATTTATAGATTTCTGTAATGTTATTGAATTTTAATTGATTATTAGTAGATTTCTAATTTTATAGATATATAATACTGTATTGTAAAATATCATACCAATACGATCATCAGGACTAGATATGATTTTTGCCTTCATAAAACTAGAAAAAGCAGATAATATTTTTGAAAATACTGTGCCTTATCCATCTAAATCCATATCAAACAATGCTTTTTTGCAATCAACTAAAAATATGACTGCATCTTTTTTGCTTCCTGCATCATGTACTGAAATATCAGCATCTTCACCAAATATATCTTCTCCATCTTAAATTTCTTCTATATCATCACCACCTACATGTTCTTCTTCAAAATCCATTTAATTTATTATTAATTTAATGAACAGAAACTCTACAGAATTATTTTATTAATTAATATCATTATAATTATTGGAATGATAATTTGTAAAAGTTCAAAAAAAAAAAGGATAAGATATTTTTGTCCTTTACTTTGTTTGATGTTAATTTAATTAACTATCTTAATAATATATTCAATAATAATCAAAATTGATAAGGATTTTAATATTACGGCATAGTTAGTCTTACTTAATAATTTTAATTTATTTGTTATGCCATTTGTTATAGTTAATTATACTGAGAAGTCAAATAGGAATAATTTTAACACAATTATGATTTCTCTTGTTATAATTAATTTATTCTTCCTTATAAATATAAATTCTAAAATTTATTTCAAGTTTCTAACCTATGCATTTAACTATTATATTTATATGACTTAATTTCTATTTTTCTCTTCCACCTATTGATAATGCATTGTATCTAAATTATCCTATACAGTATTTTGTCTTGGCTAGCATTATTCCTCCTTTGATAATCCTACTAAAATTATTAAACTATACTAAATACCTTAAATTAATATCCCAGGATTTTAAAATTCTTCTTAAGTCTTGTCCCTCTTTACTTTTTTAGACGTTCTTCCTTCTTTTCTAAAAATCTACATGATAGCCTTTGCTGTTGAAAAATTGATATTCAATTCTCTAGCAGCACTTTTTATTGTGCAACCTGTAGTTGTTACCTGCTTAATAAGTTTTTATCGCTGTTCATTTGATATTTTCTAGTACTTTAACCCATGCTTACCTAATTTAAAATCTTACTAAACTTTACCTTTATATCGAGACAGAAGTTCTTATTCTTCCTCTGGAGTTCTCTTTAGTGAAGATTTCTGGTTCAAATCCTTCACAAAATCATAAGAAGAGTCTGAGGATTCTGAGTCTTTAGATGATGTCGAACTCTTATTCTTTTATTATTCTTATGGTCTTTCCGCTTAAGAAAGTTATTAAATAGAAGTCATACAATTTGAGTATATCAATTTAAAAAATAATTGAAAAAAATGTTGAATTTAGCACTTTTTATAGTATTTTTTTTTATTCTTTCGTAGTCTTATTTATAAATAATGATGAGAGTTGTGATTAGTTGAAAAATGTATAATTCCAGATGTGTTTATAGGTATAATTTAAATATTAAACTTTCTCTAAATATATTTAAATATAAATCATTCTTTGATTGAATATTTATTTATATATAAAATATATCATCAAAAATATTAATTTTATTCATTATTAGAATATCTCATTTAAATTGATAAAAATATATGCAAAGATCATCCTCATAGTCTCTAAATTATATGGAAGTTTCATTTCAACCAAAATAAAACAAAAGTTAAAAAAATCTTATTGAATTGTTTTTAGATTGATAAAAAAATTGAATATATGAAATAAAAGAGTATTGATAACTTTATAAAAACTCAATTATAATATTAATTAATACCTTTTATTAATTAGTACAAATAGTATTTTAGTATTTCATAAATTATAATGATCTTCAGTTATATTTAGAATCAATATGGATTTTATAAAAGGATTGAAATAACAATTAATAAATTGATATTTGTAAAGATTTTATATTTTTGAAAGAGATTATTTGAAATAATTTTATTAAAACAAAATTAGGATATTTCACAATATCATATGTTCAATTTGAAATAGTTTTTGTACTACATTTAGATCTAACTATAGATCAAGTTAGTTCTTACTAAAGACTTTCAAATAATCCATTGATTTATTTTATTCAAGTACTAATTCATCCTAATTTAGTTTTATGGATATATTATACTTCATCATTATTATTTAATTAAGTTTTGACAAGAATGAATGGAAATCTTATTTTCTCACTTTCATCTACATCTCTCATTTTATTCAATTCTACAAGTTTCTTAAGGCTTTCTTATTATTTAATTTGATTTGTTGCAGAAGTTTTCTTTATTTATAATTATTCTTTTAAATTTTGCTGTTAAAATTAATTTTAATTTATTACTTTTCTAATTATTAAATTCTATTTTGTTAGATTAACTTATGTTTCTGTATTCTTTCTTATCAATTTCTTCTCCTTAATTACTATTCCAATTGAAATCATAACATTTAATGCATCATAAACTCTTCTTCTAAGATTTTTGATTTCTTTCTGTTTATCATTGTATTATCCATTAAACTCTTAAATCATCTCCTCTGTCAATTATTAACAAATATCACTATAAGCCATAGCTTCATTTGATAATTCCATCATAACTCTATTGCTGATGTATTTTAGACTCCACTTCTTCTGAGATTTTATAGGATCTAATTGAATCTTTGGTTTATCGAAGGGTTCAATCTAAACAAATAATTTCTTATTTGTGTTTGCTTGTGAATTGCAATTAGCTTCTGAATCTAAAAATATATTTTTTTGTCACAAAATTGTTGTATAAGCGCGAAAATATTCCGCCATAACATGTAATATAATATTAGAAAAGTAGATGAGAAAATTAAACATACCTTACATTAAGCCTTTAACAGGTGTCTGGAAGATATTTATTGCCATTGAGTCTTCATCTAATCTGAATTATCCTGTGAAATCCATATTAAAGTAATTTAATAAATTATTTATACAATTTAATTCTTCATAAATTATGCTTATGAATAATGGATATCAATATGTTATAATCATCTAATAAATAATAAGATTTATGAAAACAAAATGAACAATATTAATAAAAAAATCCTTTGAATATTTATGATTGCAGAAATAATATTATATTTTATGAATATATTTTGAGTAGAATTCAATCCCATATTGAACTTCTTTACTCTATATTCTTAAATCTATGTAAAGTAATCATTAATAATATGTGTCCAAATGCTTAAAATTTACTTTATGTATTAAACTATATTGATTCTTTAATGTAGGAATAGCAATTGCCAATTTTTCAAAATTTATTCTTTCTTAAAATCAAATTGCTTCAAATAAATGACTCTAATTATTAGTCATCAACCTAACAATTAAATATCATTTAACTCTTTCAATTTGATATTTATTACTTAGTCTAATTCATATTGAATGATACATTTAGTATTTGTAATCTATAACATAATATGACTTATTATTACATTAATTGCTAACTTGTAAAAGTTTAATCATTGTTCTTAAGCAACAATTCATAAAATATAAAGAACAAAAAAAAAATTTCATAAATTTCAAAAGATATTCTACATATTTATAAACAAATGATAATTTTTTAAGTTACCAACTTATTTCTTAAATCTAAATTTATTTTCTTGGGTAATTTGATCAAAAACTTTTAAAAACAAATCTAGATAAGAATTTACTTATGAAATATTGAAACATAAATATTATTATCAATAAATATGATTAAAAAATAATATATTAAATATGAACACAACAATTATTTCATATAAATTATAAATCCTCAATTATTTTGTATCAATTTTCTTCTTTTTTTTAATCAAAATCAAAGATATCTATTGATGTTTTCAAAAATTATTCAGTTTAATTTATTTTACTATTCTTTATCTACCATTGTTAAAAGTTGTGTTAATTTATGTCATTAATATTGAAATTTGGAGTTTTTATAGATTATTATTTAATCTATTCATTATTTGAATTTTCAATATTTGAAAAGATCAATTAATGTTTTTCTTCTTAAACATCTGTCATCTTAAATTTACTTCTTGGTATTTATTCAATCTTTTATTTACTTTAACAAGAAGATTAAGGTTTTTTCATATCTAAATCGAAATTATTTGATAATTCCTTTTAAGATTTTATATCTATGTTATCAAAAATGATGGATTCTACTAATGGATTGTTGTGAAGATTACTTAATGTTTCAGAATCAAATGGATTTTTACTTGGAGACTGAAATATTTGTAGCTATTATTATTCTTGAAATATCAAATTATCATTTTGTAAACTATTTGAACTAATTTAACTTTAAGCAGCATATCCAAGTATCATACTTTCTGTTTAGCTTTATTCTTAAATCGAAATTTCTTAATCAAATGATGAAGCTTAAAGTGTATTTTATAAATTAAAAACTTAATTATCTTTGGATATCTATTAATTATTTTATGGCTATCTAAAATGAGCCATCTATTGATAAATACTATAATCTAAAACTAGATATTTCACTTTAGATTTAGGTTGATAACATAATTTTTTAATGAATTCATCTTGTGATCTATCAGATTCAATTTTTTAATCATCTACATTAAAAACTATTTTTCGTGGTGGTTTTGATTTTTTAATATTCTAATGTTATTATGAATTATAAAATTGATTATTGAAATATTTTTCAATTTAAATATTTCTTGAATTTAAATTCATTCTTACAAAAGTACATATCTTAGAAAAATGAAATGATAAAAATTTTAATTATTCAAGCATATCTTCAATAATAAAATGATTTAGTTGTACTTTAGGTATATTTACTAAATTTTTCAAAAGATAATATTATTGGATTATAGATTTATCTTTTAGTTTTATTAGGTTTATATATTTATTATTCTAAATCTAATAATATTTAGAGTACAAATCATCAAAAATGTATTATGAAGTAAAAATTGGAAAGTATGGATATAATTTAGAATATTCATATGTTTAGTTAAATTATAGAATCGATTGCTAACATAAGTCTAATAATTACTGCGTAATCAAAGCAGCCTTGGATGGAATAATGTGACACATTTATGATGGAGATGGAGGTGGCTGTAAAGATACAAGAGATTCTGTACGAGATATTTTAAGAGTATTTTAATTTTCATCTGATTATTGACTATCAAATTATACATTCAAAATAGGCATTTATTATCCTTGTAATTTAAGTTTTATTATTAAAAATCTATGAATAGTTAATGAACCCTTCTCATCAAATTCATAAATCAAAATAGATGGTTAACATTAATAATTAAATTCTTTGTTATCTCTTATCACTTTATAAAGTCCAGGTCTAGAACCTAGATATTCTTCATAAGGTAAAACATAATTTAATACTGATACTCCTTTGATAATATGAGAAAATGAAGGAAGATGGATAGGATTTCCTTCGTAATCATCTATAGTTCTCAAATCTTAACCACACACTTATAATACAAATCCATCCTAAATTCCATTTGGAATAACAATAATAAATTTAGCTTCATGAGTTTATATTATAGTTATATTCCAATCTGATTCTGTAATTTTAGTTAATAAATGATTGTATTTCACATTTTACAATAAGTCTTCAAGATGTTTTTGTTATTTAGCTTATTTTTTTAATGGATCATAATATAAAATGTAATGTTCAAATTAATTTTAAGATAATGTTGCAAATGATAAATAAAGATGATTTTCATGTATTTATTTGATATAATATTCTTTAGAATATACAATATCAATATCTATAGAAATCTATTCTTTATTCTCAAAATCTTATAAAATATATAATTAGTTATCTAATATTTAAAGTAAAGATATTTGATTTTTTAATTTGAATATACAACTTGCATCATTACTATGAGTTGTAATTTATTATAAAATATCATTTTTGTATTAATATAATACGAATTAATCAGTATAAGTTTTAATTTTGAGTAAAATGTAATCATCTAAAATAGAGATTCTTTTTATTGAATTTTAATTTAAAATCTTCTTAGTTATCCATTAATTATCGAGATAATTGCATAAATAAAGAGATGAATTTGTTTAAATAAGTATTTATTCTTAAAATTAATATAAACCATATATAAGTTCACAAGGATGAGATGTAATTTAATAAGTTTAACATTTATGTGGTAAATCAAGTAGAATCTATTAAATAGTTAATGGATTTAAAATTAAGATTTCTCTTTCATGTCCTATAACTTAAAAATGCTTATAATTTATAGCTAAATTAGCAGAAGAAATCCAATTTTAATGTAAATGAAATATATGATCAATTTTACCACTACCAAAAACTATTTATGAATCATTTACTTTTGTAATTAATTAAAAATTAAAAGGAGGATTTGCTAAATTCATAATTTCTCTAGGATCATTTTATACTACAGTAAATTAAATATCATCAAATTATTAATAATAATTTGTATTAAATGATTTATCCCATTCATATTCTTATTATCTTGATAAATCATTTGAAAATTCTTATTAATTTATAAATTCATAAGCATTTAAATATCCATAATCATCTATTATTATTATTATGGGATATTCATCAGTACTACTAAATGATTCTTAACTTTTTTTAATTATATGATATTAATCTTTATTCATTAAAGTTAAGCCTCTAATTCCTTAAGTTTTAAGTATTTCTACTTTCTTATTTTTATTATTATTATTATTATTTAATATATTTAAATATTCCAAATTCCAAAATATTAGTGTACTTAAATTTGTTCCATAAAGAATAAAAAGTTCCCCCATAATTTACATTCCAAAGTCTCCATTATTATTTGTTTCATTAATAAGATCTATTTTTAAATTGTCTATTTATTAATTGAAATTATTTGATGCCAAATCAAACCATATGATTTCAGCATAATAAGATATTTTTTCTAAAATATTTTAATTTTGTAATTGATATCCACAAATACATAATAAATTTTTAATAATAAAGATTGATTTAATTTATATTGAATTGATATTTACATTTAAATTAAATTCTTTTATTGAACTATTTAAAATATTTGAATTCTTTTTAATGTAATAGTAATCATTTTCTACATAAAATCCTGCTTATATTTATGTATCTTTAAGAATTACTTAATTTTAATATGATATCAAATCAATAAGTACAAGCTTATCCTCTAAACATAGAAATAACTTATTGATCTCAAAATTTAATTATAAAATATTCTCATATGTAAATACTTTTGATAATATTAACTAAAATTGAATTTTTGATATACATTTTACTAATTAGTTTAGAAAATTAAAATAGTCTTTTCTGTCCTTACTATTATTTAATTTCTTATATTGTGCAAAGATATAATATTTCCATAATTTAGTGTTAATTATTAATTAGGAAAATAATTTGAAAGATTTTCTGAAGAGAATTGATCTATTATACAATCATAGAATAAAATGGAATCTTTTTAAGCAACTAATATTTAATCATTTAAAATAGCTAATTAAGAACTTGAGTTTGTAAAATAAGCAGAATATTTATTATTATTTACAATGCTTTGATCAATACTATTTATTTGATCTATAAATTAATAATCCATTATCATTTATACTCTATATTATAATCTATTGATATACTTAGTTTATTCTTGATTTGATTAATTAAACCGTCTATTTATATGATTGGTATTAAAATTTTGATGGAGATGAAAGCATGCAAACTTATTAATTTTCATAATAAAATTTATATATATATATATATTTTGATTAAATGCTTCATTATTTAATAAACTATTTATAATTTTCAATTAAATTAGATGCAGATGAAAATATTTAAATATTTTTATTTTCTTACAATTATTCGATAATAAGAATACAATCTTATATTTTAAAATAGTAGGTACTATTATAATCAAGTATTTTTTGTATAATTGTAAGTGCTGCTTATAATTTAGTAGTATCTATCATATCAGTCATCAATATATTTTTACAAAGATTAAGTAAAATAGATAATTATTGGTCATCAAATATTTCTATATTACAAACCTCTAAACCCAATAATGTAAATTCTTAACATTTTAAATTATAGAAATAATAATGTTGAGTTGAATTAAATTCTTAAGCAAATATTGAACATTTAGAATGTTAATGCATAACTTACATAAGTTTCAATATTTCTATCTTAGCTAAGTTGACTTCATATTATTACCCATTTCTAAATAATAAACGAAGATCATCATATAATATATCATATAAAACACTTTGATCACTTACTTTTCTAAAGATTTTAGTAATAGTTCTTATTCCTGCCACAATACCAAGTTGATCCTTATCAAATAATTTTTATCTTAAGAAACTAGTCAAATTAGGTAAGGACATCATTTATTAAATGAATTAATCACTCATATCTTTAAGTTGATCTAATACTTGACTAATAAAACCATAAACAAACCAAACTACATTTTCTTTATATTCACAATTATTTTATGAAGGAATTATTAGGATATAATTCAAAATTTATGTAAATAGATCAATATCAATAGTTTCTAACCTACTTCTAAACCAATCATTCATAATTCTTGCAATATTATTTTTTATATTTTAATCATCATATTTTTACAATATTTGTAACATCAATTAATCTAATTAATTTTCTATATAAATAGATCTAATTTTCTATTCATGAGTAATAGAATTAGCTAATCCTAATAATGAATGACTTAAAAAAATCTGATTTTCATGATAAAATGAAATTTTAACTAAATCTATTAGTAACTAAAGTATTCCTTATTTTAATAACTCAGAACACAGTTCATAATTACTATACATCATTTATGCTAATAACAATAATGAATCAGATCTATATTCAAGTGAGAGGTTTTCATTATAAACTGTTTCTTTTAATAAATAAACAACATCATTTGCTTCCACTAACATTTTTATTGCATAATGAGAATTATCATCTATATAATATTATTATTATAATACCATCATCTGTAAAGTGAATTGCAGGTTTTAATAATTCAAACCTTAATTCATCTGTCAAAGTAATATCTTAAAACTATTTGATTAGAGAATCAAATTATTTAAAATCATAATTGATCTAGTTCAATTACTAAAGATTTCTTTGTCTTTACTTATCTCTAAGAGTACTGATTTTTGATTCTCTAAAAGTTACTAATAAATTTAAACCTATCTTAATTTCTAATTTCTGTAGAATATTGTTGAACTGCATATTAAGATTGTGTTAGTTGAAAATTCATATTTTATTAATTATTTTTAGTAAAATATATAATAGTATATCTATAACACACTAATATACAAAAATTAAGACAATCATCATGTGTATTTTAATATAATCAAGTGCAAACTATAAACAATTATTAAATAGTCATAGAATTTAAAGAAAGAATTTTTGAAAAGGATATTTAATATTTGTAAGTAAAAGGATAAGCTTATGTAGAAAAGAAAAAAAGCAATCAATTAATAAATAATAAATAATAAAGTAATTGCTCTATTGAAATATTCATAAATAATTCTATTAATATAGATTAATTGTGAAATAAACTTTGTAACTAGAACTAGTTAATTTAAAGAATTTTTGACAAATTTTATTAAAACAATTGTTAATTATTTAAAATATTTTAATAGTTCAATTATTGATTCTGCTCTAAACTAAGCTAAAATTATTCCTATTTTTGAACAAATAATTAAATATATTTTTTGGTAACTTAAATTCATTTTTTGCTACAAAAAAATAGTTTTATAGAGACAGTGTTATATAATTAATCACAAAATAAAGATTAAATGATTTTATGATATGAATCTTATTAGATTCCTTTATTAACGTGAAGTTTTTTTAAGATGTAATTTATTATTATATATGATTAGAAGTGTAAAATAATTTTGAATCAAAAATTACTTAATTATAAAATTTAATTGTTTAGGGAAAGATTCAAAATTATTATTCATTGTCAGAATATATAATTTAAATGAAGATGAACAAAATATATTAAAAAAGATTAATTAAGACAATGTCAAAATTGGTAGATATCTATTCTTAACAATATGATTTATATCATATAATCAGAGGGAATATGATATTTTCTTATTTCCTAAGGTCTTCTCCACTATAACTCATATATGGTGTAATTTCAACTAATTCATTATCTTAAGTTCCTTCTAATTACAAGTATCTTTTATGAACATTGGAGAGTTAAATCACTGCCTTTTTTGGATCATCAATTAATAAAGCATAATCTTCTGTCTAATATAAGATAGTGGAATTTGCTATTTCTATTATATCTTATATATGTTTTTCAAATTAGATTGTTGGTCCTCTTCTTATAACATGATATCTTTAAGAAAATTTCATTGACTTTTCATGATTTGATTTTAAATTGTTTAGAAAAGCAACAGATACATACAAGTCATTTAAACACATCTTTGCTAAATTTTCAGGATTTTCTGTCATACTAGAATCTTAAGTTTCCATTGTTTTAAAATAGCCATTCTAATAAAATATTCTATCATCTTATGTTGAATTTGTTTCGATTACTTTACAAATTACATCTGTCTAATTTTAATTCATTAGATTAAGCATAATAGGATCTAAAGGAAGTCCTGCCAAATTATCAAAACCCAATAAATGAATATATTACATATTTGGAAATTTTCTTATATTAAATTAAAACAATATTACTTTTAAAATGTTGACAATTATAAGAATATGCTTCCTGTACCATTTGGTGCTAAAACAGGTTAATTTTATTCAAACATCACCTATCCATATTTATTAATAATTGGTAGTGACTTTTACTGAATTACATGTATGTAAGGAAACCCAAAATCTTTTTTGTTTTTAAGGTATTATTGAAAGGCAGCAGCATTTTAATCAGAAACCAATATCCCAATAGGGAAACCACTAAAATCTGTAGTTTCTTAGGCTTATTATTGTTAAATTTGATAGAGTACCCATAATGATAATCTTTTTTAACCGTTCCATCATAATTTAAAAAATACATTTTTTGGATGGAAATCCAATATCCTTAAGAATTTTATTAGGCAATCGAGAACTATTGCCACCACATAATAAAATCAAACCAACTTTACGTTACTAACTATTTTATAAATATAATTACCTTAATTAGATCAAGGTCCTTATCAACTTGAGTATTACAAAATTTAATTTATCCTTTGAATATATCCATATGAGTCTATTTACAACAATGATAAAATAACTAAATTATTGTATTATTATAGATACTGAGTCCACTGTCTCAAAATCTATCCATTCTATTTTAGACATAAATTCTTTTTTTTCTTAGGTATTCATTACACTAAGTAATTTTAAGATGTGTTCTTATTTTGCTGCAATAATTCTTTGAATTAATGAATTATAAGTAGTATCAATTTTTTCATCTACTGTTATTTTAATACTTACTCTAAGCAAAATCATTTGCTAATGTTTCAAGTTTCTAATATGTTGAATATCGATTAAAATCTAATTCATTTGTGATATTTTCTGTCTAAACCTTGGAAGTACATTCTCCCATTTATTACTTTTTATAAATAAAAATAATTTATATTAGCATATTCAAAATTCACTTTTATTATTTTCGTTTTTTATAGAGAATGAAAGTTTTCAATAATCCTCATTTCCATTCTAAAGGCAGTTCATCTAAACCTTCTTCACTCTAATCTTCAAGAGTAGGTGGTAGTAAAATAATAGGAAGTCCATAAGGATAAGAATAAGACCTTAATGAAATGTTATAATCACTTAATCCAACATAAATTATAGCATAGGAAGAAGAATCGAAATTTGATTTAATATAAGAAATGCAACAGTTGAAAACTAAAGTATTAGGTTTACTTAAAAAATACTAAGTAATGTTATAAAATGAGAATGCAAAATAAGTTAAGAGTAAAATTAAATCAGATGTTCAAGAAATTTAAATTGAATATGAAGATATAATAGCATAATATTAGATAGATTAGAGTCAACTTGAAATAGAGAACAATATTCCAACTGTATAAAAAGAGAAAGTAATAATTATTTATAATATAAAAGGAATTGAACACTTATTTTAATTTAGTAGAAGAATTCTTAGAGAGATTCTCTCATCATAAAGCTACATTGAATTATTTTTCAATTTTGTAACAAGAGAAAATGAATCGAAATGGATTAGGAGTATTCTCTGTTGATCAAGATGGCAGATAATCTATGTATGACTTTTAAGAATAATTGCCTGATCTAACTGATAGCAATAATTCAGAAAATACTCATGAAGCTTAATAAGCAAAGATAGCCTTATCAAATTCATAAAAATTAAGAAGTTAGATTAGAAGACGTTTCTTTGATTTAGCATTGAAAGTAAAAGAAGGCTTACCACTTTATCATCCAGGTAGATAGATTTTGGTTTCTATTCTTTTTGAAGATGCAGAAGAAGAAGGAATTGATGAAAATGAATGGGAATCATGGATTGTGAAATAATTAAATAAATGATTTATAATGTTATAAGATGTACCAACACTAAATTCTCTATACTGATTCTCCTACTAAAACAAAGTCTTTGGCTCCTTCCAAACCTCTCTAAAAAATATATTTGATATTATTAATAAGGCATTTCAATTCATTATTGGAGAATTCACTCAAAGCATTAAAAAATGAAAGAGTACCTATATAAATAAATTTAATAAAAAGGATAAATCAATTTTTAGAGATTGAATGTTAATAATTGCAAGTGTAATAATAATTGGAAAAGGGAATTTAATAAAAAATAATTGAAGATCTTAATTTATTAGTATTATGTCATATTTCAAAACCAATAGTTGATTTCCTAGAAAATCATTTTATTGTTTATGCTGAAGAGTTGTAAATAATTATTTTGGAAATTAATCTTTCACTTTTTCAACCTAGAATTATTCAATTAATTAAATAACATATAGTCACCAGTATGAACATAGTTACTGGAAACTTATATTCTCATTTATTAGAATAATCACATTAATTAATATGTATTTTATCATTTGAAGTTAGTGATTAGATTTGATTAATATTCAGAGGTTACATAGAACCTTTCATTTCTAAATTACGAGAAATAGTAATACTTATTAAATATTATAGACCATCCCATAGATATTATTAAATAAATATACTATCTTAGCATTATTCTAAGAATTAAGTTAGAATATCTATTAAACTATATAAGACTTTTTGAAATTTACACTATTTCATTTTGCTTAACCTGATATTATTGAAATATTTATGGATATGCTATTGAAAATTACGATACATTAATATTGAAAAATAAAATTCTATCTAACTCAGCGTAACAAAATGAAAATATTAACAAAATATCAGTTGATTAAGTATTAGATTGTCTTCAAATATGTACCACTAAAAAAAGTAAGTCGATCGCTGTATATAAAATTTAATATAGGCAAAAGGTACAAAATAATTAACTGAATATGATGAGGATTAATGTACATAATCAACTGATAATAAATCTTGTAATATGCAAAAAGATGTTAGATATTATTTAAATGGTTTATATTTGGAGTGTGAAGATCCTTAATCAAAATTTATCATCTATGTTATGAATGAAGAATTTAAAGTGATATATGCTCCACTTGTCCCACTTGTCAAAGATCGGCATTTTAGAAGGTAAATTGATTATATTCTATTAAGACTTTTGTAATTGATTATTAAGGCAAGGGTGGATTCTTTAAAAAAATATTCTAATAGAAAATCATATTGGGGAGTTTACCCCAGTAAAATTTAGATCAATGAAGGAATTGATTCATTCTAATTGGATTCATGAATAATTGGCAATAATCATATTAAATTAACATTAAGAGGATGTGTATTAATTAAGATGAAAGATTGAAGAAAAGATGGATACTATGTTTGGATCATTTTAGCTAATATTAATAGAAATAAGTATATAAAAAATCTATTAGTAGAGAGTTTTAACAACATTTCAGTGAAAATGCAGTGAATAATGGATGTATGCAATATTTAATTGCATATTTGCCTTTACTTAAAGAATTTTTTAATTTAGGAGGTTTTGGTGCAAAAGCATATTAATAAGTTAAGGAATTTATACTCCTTAGAGAAAATTTACTTCTGCATTAGCTATATTGTCTTCGTTGGTGTCAGGTGCTATAATTGGTTAGGCTTTGATTCCAATACCATTGGTAGGATGTATTGTTGGAGGAATTATTGGAGGTTATTTGGAGAATAAGGGAATGACTAATTATACTAAGAGTAGAAATCTTAAAAAGTTATGTAAAAATTATTATAAAATTAATTATAAGATGGTCATTGGGAATGCAATATGATCAATTTAGATATTTTGGTTATAAATTTTAAAATATTAAATGATTACATACCCAAAGTTTTAAGTGAGGATAGTGAGAGACAAACAAAATGGATAAATTTAGTGATATTTACAATATTGAGTTTGTTCTTTAATTTAAACGATATAGTGAAAGTGTGGCAAGAATGTTTAGACTGTTTACTAAAAATATATATAAATTGAGAAAATATCATTGGCAGATACTCTAGAAAATTTAAAATAGATAGTTGAAGTCATAGTAAAAAATCTTTGACTTTATATTAATTTAAATATGAAAATACCTCTTAATACTCTTGAGTAGCCAAAAGAAATCGACCGTCGTGTAATTTCTTTCAATTTAAATTTAGATCTTGGCATCAATCTTAACAAGCCCTCACTTCTTGGAAGAGTTGCTTTAATTAGTGAATGACAAGAGTAATGTTATCCACAAATTATCTTTGGGATCATTAACTTTACTTATGGATAAATTAGATGATTATATAGAAAATATGGCTTAACAAGTATAATAAAACTCTAGGCATGATTGTTCGTAATTGTTAAATCTCATTAATAGTTTAATGGAATATGAATGTTATAGGTAATTATTTTAAAAAATTTTGATAGAAAATTGTTTAATTCATTAGAACATCTGTTAAGCATAGTGGAGCATACAGATAATTTATAAAATTATGAGACTATTATGAACATTCTGATCAAAATCTGTGATTAAGCAATAAATATAAACAATCCTTAATAGAAAGAAATTTGCAATTAATAATTAAGAGATAATATTCCTAGATTGATTTATCTGAATAGATTTCTCTTTGATCATAATAATACTCTTTCATCTACTAAACTTGAATTGATTGATTATTATCATGATGATCCAAATTATTTTGCCATTACAGATAATCCAATTTAATTTCCTTAATTACAATTTGAATATGTAGAGCCAACTATTTTAGATGAATCCTATGCAGATTTATGTAAAAATGGTGTTCATAAGAAAGAATTACAGCATTAAACATCAATTAAAGTATAATATATTTATTTAATATATTTAGAATTTTAATATTTAAGATGATAAATCTATGTCTGCTCTACTTTTAGCTAAAACAATCTTAGATTAGAAAGATATGCCTTTAACTCCATTAGTAGAAGCAGTAAAATATAGAATTTTAATTTACAGAGGTTTATCTGAAAATAAAATTGAAACAAATACATTAGTAATAGGTATGCACATTTTATCACTTGAAATGAATATGTTATTAGATGCTTTCTGTTCAACTCATGATTGTGCTTTCTTGTTAGATTAAGTATTTATTGAGAAAATTGAATATGAATAATACTTCAGTATTTATACTAAACTATTTTAATTGAAAACTGTATAACCTAAATTACTTGTAACTATATTATCAACTTTGGATGAAATATTAATTACAGAAAGATAATAAGATAATGAAATTGCATTAAATACAGCTAAAAATTATGATGAAACTTTTTTACAATTAATTTATGATGTTTTATCAATGTAACCACATTAAATTGAAATTGAATCAAGTTATCCATTAAAATATAATGGATAATTATTAAATGAATAATGTGCTAAAGATGAAGAAGTTGCTTGTGGTATATTCAAATTATTTTCATCTGAATCTGGAGTATTATTATTAAGTCGTAGCAATATAGCACTTGGATCATCATAAGCTTTAATTAGAACACTCCTTATTTAAGATAATAAATCATTTTTGCCTCCTGAAATCCTTAAAGCAGGAATTGGAATGTTAGGAAGATTGTCTAGAAAAGAAGATTTATAAAGAGACCTTAAAATATTTAATGATTTAATTAAAGTAGTTGAAAACCTCATTTCTATAGGACCTAATCTTATCAAACCTACAGAATAAGGATTTTAACAAGTTACTTTTGATGAAACTGATTCTATTATTTCATTTTCTATCTAGAGTATTAATGAACATTTCAAAGACGATCTTGGAAGAAGATATAATAGAGCTAATGCACCTACAATCGCAAGAAAAGTATCAGAAACTTAAATCATTAAAAAACTATAAAATTTGTTATAAGACAGTAGATATACTCTTATAATACAATAAACACTCATTTTGATTTCACATCTTGCAAATGAGGTTCCTACTCTTATTGGAAGATTAATAGATTCTCAATTACCATAATAATTAAATTCTATAATACAGAATCTAAATGATACTTAAATTAATAATAAAATGGTTAATGCTATATTTTAATTCTATTTTAATGTTTCATTAAAAGAAGAAGGATATGATCAATTTAATACTTTTGGCTTATAATTCATGCAAAAAATTCTTGATTATTGTTTAATTTAAACTAATGGACCTAAAGAAATATTAACATCTGTAGGATAGAACATTGCTAAATATTTACAAAAAATTGATAAGGTAGCTCCATAGGTAATTAATATATTAAACATTGGATTGGAAAGACTTTATAATTATTTAATTGATAAGAGAAATAATTTAAAAGAAGACACATATTAATAATATTATGAAATTATTACTAAAATCTCAAATCTATCAATTTTAGTTTTCAAAATGATTCATAATTTACATCCATCTTAATAAGCTGAAATGAATGCCAAAGGATTTTTTGAAAAATTACTATTGTTTTTTGAATTTCCTACTTTTGATTATAAAATTGACTTAACTAAAGTATTTAGATTATTTGCCTAATTAGATGAATTTGATAATCCATTTAAAGCATTATCTAAAGTATTTGTCTCAATTTCTAAATTGGAGAGTAAATTAGGTTGTAACTTAGAAAATTCAAATATTTTAATTGATGAATCATTTTATAGCTCTGAGAAATTCTTTCTTACATGTTCTTTAGACTAATTATAATAGAAATTAGAATTTGTTTCATATTATTCTTAGACTGAGTAACTTATGGAAGTATTAAAACACTATTTAATGAATGGTTAAATCAGATATGAATAATAGGGAATAGGAAAATTATTAAATAAGAGTTGTTCCTTACTTTTAATATTAATAAGATCTATTAAGTATGGGTAAGATTAGAAGATGGATTAAGCTTTCAAAAAATCTGTTTTCTATTAATTTATATAATTATTAAAGGTCATTATAATTAATTCATATAGAATTACAAGAAGAATTAATAATGAATTACAACCACTTAGCAATTTATTTTGTTAATTAAGTTAAAATTTAAGGAATGAAAATATTCAAGTAATTTAATTGCATTCTTATTTAATTAATGATTTATTAAACAATCTAGTTGAAGGTAAAAAGTATGCAGATTTTCAGAATTTGCATCCAGATTTTTTAAGTCTTTTAATAAATTCTGATTTTTTAGAGAATCTAAAATCAGGAATTAGTTCATTTATATAATTGGTTGGTTAGAAAAGTAATATTGAATCTATAGATTTACTTGGTTGGTAATATGCAAATATTATAAAATTAATATATCTTAACAAAATAGATTAAAGCAAGAAAATGTAAGGATACCTATTGATTCCAAAATAAATTGAAGAAATATAAAATCTACTTACAATTACCTAATGTTTATCAGATGATCCTATATATACAATTTAAGAATAGTTACTTAATAAAGCAATATTTATTTTCAGACCTTCATTTTTATAAGATTTAATATGGAAAGATAAAGATAACTTTTTCTAAAAAACTTATTAAGTCTTAAGAGATGAAAATGGAGGTGAAGTAGATATACTTTAGTAAGATCCAAATGAAGTGAGAACAAAACTTAGAGATATGGGTTATCAAGAAGATGTAATAACAATTGCATTATAAAATAATGATATTTATGATGTGACAAGACTTACTGATTGGATATATGAAAATTTAGATCTAATTGAAGAATAGAAAATCAAAATGATGGAAATTCAAAAAAATGAACCATCCTTAGAAGTCATTACATAACAAATTCATAATAAATAAAAAAATCTTAAATAATATATCTAAACAAATATGTTATATTTTAGTAAATTTGAAGAAAGTATCTTCTAATTATTGGAAGGATAGATTATGCCTTCATTATTAAAATGTTTAAAATAGGTTGTATATGAATAATTCAAAATTTAACTAAAATTCAAAGATTGTGAACCTGAAATCAAACCTCCATCCACTGATAATATGAAAGTAATTATTACAATTTTGCATTTTATATACAAATAAAAAAATCTTGTTGAAGAATATGAAAGCATTGTAACTGAATTAATGAAATTGGCTTAGGAAATAATGAAATAATAGGATGATCTAAGCCTAAAAGCTATAAATCATATTTTAGCAATCTTAACACTTTTTATTACTGATGACTAAAAGAAGAAAAAAAATCATCATGACACAGTAAATGATATCCTTTTGGGAGTGATTAACATCTTAAAAGGCAAAGTTCAAAATCATACAACTTCAAAAATTTGTATTGAAATTCTAGTTAGAGCATTTTAAGTAAACAAAGATAATGTTTAAAAATTTGTCTCCCAAATGAGAGGATTGGAATATCTGATTAGAATTAAAGGAGATTCACAAAATCATATGTTCCCCTTGACTAAATTAGTACTTTCAATTGTTCATGATAAGAGTTTAGTAATTGCTTAGATTGAAGCAAAAATTAAAAAGTTACTATATAATTAAGAATATAATAAAGAAATTGAAAATATCAATAAACAATAATAATAACCTTAATCATAGGTTCCATAATAACATTAAACTCATTATCCTATTTGCTTTTAACCAATTTATTATAATGTTCCTATAACAAATGACATAAAGATTGCCTCTAATCACCCAGCATTATTAACTATATAAAATCATACATTTTTTAAAGATGAAGTAAAAGAGGTCATGTCTCATTTATTTGAAGATGGAGAAACAATTGATGGAGTTAAGTATTTAAATCTAAGAAAAGGTTGTTCATTACACACTTTTGATTGTGTTTAACCTACTAGTTTTTAAAAGCACAAAGAACCTGAAACAGCAAAAAAAAGTAAATAGATCTAAAAAAAGAAGAAAAGCGAAGATAAACTATAATTGCAATCTAACTTTTAGCATACTTAAGAAGCATAAATTTTAATCAAATTATTAATATAATAGATGATAAGCTCATTTTTTGAAAATGAATAATATCAATATCATTGGTATACTATTACTTAAGTATTATAAATAATGATTAGACGTTATCCTGTTTTAATACCAAAATTAGTAAGAGTAAATTGTAGTAAATTATTAAAGCCTTATTAAAAATAATTAAGTACAGATTATCAAGATCTAGAATTACCTAGAAAAATCTCTTTTCTTACTCTTATTACTAGAATAATGACTCCTGCAAAGAATCTACTATTTGAATTATGTTTAGATAATGTCTTATTATATTAAATGACTAATAATAATATAGTTCCATTTTCAAATGAAACAAGAAGAAAAATTGTTAATGAATTATATGATGGCATTGAAAAAAGAATTAAGTTATTTGATTCAATTGTTTGTTAATACTCATATACTTTGATACGTTTGTTATAGATAAAGTCTGTGGCAAAGATTTGCTATAGAAATATTCATGATACAGCTAATTCATTTAACTTTATTAAATTATATATGGATGGTATGAAGAGCTTTGAGTTAAAGTCATATTATATTTATGAAAAAGAATTACAATTCATTACAGAAACCCTAGCAGTTCTTTTCAATATGGCTATTTATCTTTTATTTTATAAGCCTACCCCAATTATTATTTCTAAATAACAATAAGAATAATATGGAGATCATTTTCAATTACAAGGTATGATAGGATAATTGTTACCAGAAGAAATCAATTCCCAATTAGTACCAAATAAAAGTATTTTATATCAAGATTCAATCAAATATTTCTAAAAATGGCCACTATTACCCATTTCATTTTTAGAAGAATTGAATTAAAATTAATAACATGAAGAGTTAGAATTTTAATAGTTCTTATCTCCTTTTAGAAGAAGAAATAGACTTGTGAATGTTGAATTGATTGCAAATATTGATGAAGATGATGGTATGTTAGAATTAGAATATGATGATAATGATATGTAAAGTGAATAAAGTGGAGACTCTCATAATTCTCATGAATCAGCTCCAGAGGATCTTGAAGAGGAAAATAGTTGGGTATCTAGTTAAAGTGGAAATAATTAAATAGAAGCTGAGGAAGCATAGAATTCTTCATCAAGTTGGACTGATGAAGAAGATGAAGATGAAGATAATGACTAATAAGAGGAAGGAAGTGAATAAGAAGAATAGGAAGAAGAAAATGCTTTAAATAGTGATTTATAAAGTGATAATGAAGAAGATATTGATTAAGAAGAAGATGAAGAAGAACATGATGAAGATTAAGAAGAAGGGATTATTGATTAAGCAAATGATGGATTTGAATAAGAAGTTTAAAATAATGAAATTTCAGAAGAAAATATTGAAGTCACAAAACAATTTCATCATCTTACTAGTAGAGAAGATTAGGCATTTGCTAAAATGACTAAATCTATTACTCAATTAATTGGCATTCAATTTCCATAATAATTTGCCAAAATTTTAGATAAATTAGTTCATTCTCTACCAAAATTGAATTCTCCTGATGATTCTCAACCAATTAATTGGTGGACAGAATTAACACAATATATCTAAAAATCATTCTAATTTGATGAGAGATCATACGGATAAGATTTAAGAATGCAACCACTTTTTAGAGATAATAGATTCAGTACTGAAATCTTTAGAATTGATTAAAATGATAGGATCATTAACAGATTTTAAGCAGCAAGATTTGATTTAATTGATAGATAAGAAAGAAATGAATAGCTTAGATAAGATAGAATCAGATCTTTATAATTTAGAAATAGACGAGAAGAATAATAACTTGAATTACAACTTTAATAATAACTTTAACCATAAGCTAATATACATTAATAACAGTAATAAAATTTGTAACATCACAACAGAGAGTAATAATTTATGCGATTGTTCAATTGGAATTAAATGTAATAAAGTTTATAACAACCACAATAATAACTACCTAATATAGCTTCTTTATAATAAACCTCTTTGAATTTATAAAACATATAAGATTAATTATAATAATCTTTCTTGAACTTATTAAATACTAGTTAAAGCTTATAGTAATTCTAATTATAATAATAAGAGCAACAATAATAATAGTAATAGTAATAGTAATAGTAATAGTAACAATAATAATAATAGTAATAGTAAGAGTAATAGCAATAGTAATAGTAACAATAATAATAAATTTAATAATAGTTAGATTAATAATAACTTTAACAACAAATATAATTTGAAGAGCCATAATTTAATGTACCAGAAGTAATGTAAATAGAACCATAAGTTTAAAAATCTGAATAATAATAATAATAATAATGCATGCAAACAGAAGAATAACCTTAAAAAGTAGAATAAACAAATTTAAATATTTAATAATAATCATAATAGTAAAATTTAGAATAACTTTATCCAAATACTTTCAATTTTTTATAAAGAGTAGGAAAATCTTTTGATGATCTACTAAACAACAATATTGATCCCTCAGTATTTGAAGATTTATCAGAAGATATGATGGCTGATATAATTTCTACTATCCCAGATAATAAAGAAATTAATAATATTGAAGGAATAGATCCATAATTCTTATAATCATTACCCCCAGAAATTAGAAGAGAAATTTATTAATAATATGTATAACCTCCTTAAACTCAACCTTAATAATTATCAGACTTGGATCAATTAATCGCCTTAATTAATTAAACTCCTTATGATGATAGAGAAGAAATGTATTTGTAAATAAGTGCTGAATAAGTCAGAAATCTACCATAAGACTTAAGATAGGAAGCTACTTATATAAGAGAACGAGCTGATTAAAGAGCCATAGAATAGACAGAAAGATAATTGTACTATTAAATTGATCCGTAGTAATAATATTAACGTAATCCTAATCCACAACCCTAATAATAAAGAAAAGAAAATCAAAAGTCTTTGAATTTGAAAAACTTACTCTAAACTTAAAGACATTTGGTTTAAAAATTAGGAAATGTGGATGATGAATTTGCAGAATCTCTACTTAGATTACTTTATGTTGAATCACATAGCTTTATGAATTTTCCAATTAATCTATTCATTGCTTTGACAAACAATCCAAATGTGGAATATAAGTTGATTGACGCTTTATTCTTCATTCTTAAGAATCATAATCATAGAATAGATTAGAGTGAATTCCCTCCATAAATATTAATAAGAAGAAATGGATTAATTAGAGATTAAAGAAAGATATATGAGATAGTTTCATTAAAGATTTTGTATTTAATTTCAAAATTGCAGGGTCCATCAATAAAGTATTTCTTTGAAACAAAAAAATAAGGATAATTGTAATCAATAGCCAGATTGTCAGAAGGTACTTAGAATCTTCCATTGTTATAATTAATTCAGCTTTTACCTATGTTTAAGGGTGATCATCAAGAATTATTGATATAAGCCATATCAAATATTACAACAAAGTAGAAGGATTTTAAATAAGATTAATTAAATTTAGATTAAAAATCTGTAGAATGTGTTTGTACAATATTATTGCAAAATATGAATAGAAGTGTTAAAAGCTTTTCTCATATTATCTTAAATCTTAGTAATAATAAAGAGAACCAATAATTGATAATAAAATATATAAAGGAATTTATTTAAAAAATAACCAGAGAAATAAATAATAATTTTGCCAAACAATGTTAATATGATGAGATCTTTACTGCAGATAAAGTTTTGATAAATGTATTTTAATTTGTTAGAGAAATGAATGATAAAATTGGTGAGAATAATGACCAACAAGATACAAGAAGTAATTTCAAGGAATTATTAGAAGATTAAGGTTTAGTATAATTATGGAGAAATTTGATAAAATTATTATAAGACATTCCATAAGAAAAATTAGCAAAATTAAGTACTAAAATATCTCCATATTTGGAATGCTTTTTCATTATATATTAATTAGTTAATCCTATTAGAAAGAACAAAAACATTTAGAGAGAACCAACAAAGATTGCTAGTATGGAAGGTCAATAACAAGAGGTTTAAGAATAATAATTGCATGATGAATTATTCTAATAGATTTGCGAGAGTGGCAAGGTTCTATTGAATATGATGATTAGAGAAAGATTGTAAGAATTGAGAGAGAAAGGCAAAATAGTTAATGATTCTTTAGGAGTTATAATATTTAAGAATCCTAGAATAGTAGATTTTGATAATAAATAGAAATATTTCAAAATGGAATTGAAATAATTGAAAATGTAAAACAACAGACATCATTATGGAAATGTAAATATAAGATGTAGAAGAAAGGATATATTTATGGATTCTTATCATCGTATAAGTAAATTAAAACCAGAAGAATTAAAAGGTAAATTACATGTAGAATTTGATGGAGAAGAAGGTATTGATGCAGGTGGAGTCTCTAGAGAATGGTTTTTAATGCTTTCAAAAGAGATTTTCAATCCTAATTATGCTCTCTTTACTCCATCATTAAATGGACAAATGTTTTAACCAAGCAATAAATCTCATGTGAATCCAGACCATGTTAAATATTTTAAATTTATTGGAAGAATTGTAGGTAAAGCATTATATGATGGATAATTATTGGATACATATTTTACTAGATCATTTTATAAACATATTTTGGGTTAGAAATTAACAATTCATGATATGGAAGATATTGATTTAAATGAATATAATAGTATGAAGAAAATTTTGGAATAAAATGTTACAGATTGGGGAATCTATTGGACATATAATGTTGATCATTTTGGTAAACTTGAAGAAAGAGAACTAATTGAAGGAGGAAAAACTAAATTAGTAACTGAAGAAAATAAATTGGAGTATGTTCAAACTTATTGCTATTAAAAAATGGCTAAAGAAATTAAAGATTAAATTGAGGCATTTTTAAATGGATTCCATGAATTGATACCATAATCATTAGTAAGCATTTTTGAATGGAAAGAGATGGAATTAATGTTATGTGGTCTACCTGATATTGATCGTAAATTTATTTTATTTATTATTTTAGTTGAGGATATGAAAGAGAACATTGAATTTCATGGTTATGATAAAGGAGATAAAGTGATTTAATGGTTATGGGAATTGTTGGAGAGTTTTGATAAGAGTAAAAGAGCAGCATTCTTATAATTTGTAACAGGTATTTCATAAATCTATCATCATTTTAGGTACTTCTAAAGTTCCTTTAGGCGGTTTCAAAGAATTAAAAGGAATGCATGGCCCTTAAAAAATATAAATACATAAAAAACCTTATGTCAATTTTGAATTACCTACTTCACACACATGGTAAATATTAATTCTATATAATTTAGCTTTAATTAATTAGACTTACCTGATTATCCAGCTAGATAAATTTTAAAGGAGAAATTAGAGTTGGCTATTATGGAAGGTAAAGAAGGTTTTGGTTTTGCTTGATAAAAAATATTTCACATTATTTAGAATAAATTAACTATTTTTTTAATATTATTAACGATTATGATTGGAAGACCACCAAGAACAAGGAATGAAAGATAGTAAAACCCTTAAATAAGTGAAGATTAATTGAAAATAGAACTTCAGATGTAAGCAGAAAATAAAAAAAGAGAATTAAGAATATAGTAACTCTAAGAAAAAGAAGAAAATTTAAAATAGTTAGAGTATGCAGGATAAGATGTTGAATCCTTTAGAAATAAAGTATATGCAGAATATCAGGATGTCATTCCACAATAATCTAAAGCTGAATAAGAACGGGCTGCTCGAATTAAATTGAGAGAAGAGGAAAGATTAAGAAGAAAGAATGGTTTAGGAAGTGCTTATGAATAAGAAAAAGAGAGGCTGCCTATCTAATTAGAAAATAAGCTCTTAAATAATTTGAATCAAATTAATAATAATTAAAATGGAGATTGGTTAGATAAATAATAATTAGTTTCAAATCAAAATAATGCCAATTATTATCATTAGCAATAACCAGTTGTTAATAATTATCCTGATCAAGTTTATGGTGTAAGATAAATATAATAGTCTTAACTTAATAATTAAATGAAGAATGAATCTTATCCAGACTAGTAAAGAAATGAGTAACGTTATTAACCACCACCACAAATGAATAATCATAGTAATTACTAGAAAAATAAAATTAATGATGCAGCAGAGTAAGAAAGGGAAAAAAAAAGAAAATATAAAGAATAATTAGATATGTAGATTAATTAAAAAGGTTAATAAAATTAACAACAGATTTAAAACCAATAGGGGTAGCAATAATTTCAATTATAAAATCACTAGTAATAATTATAAAACTAATAATAATAGTATAAACCGCATTCATAATAAAGTTAAAGATAGCCTTAAGTAGAAGTAGATTTCTTTTCTAAATTTGGGTAACCTTAATCCTAGTAAGGTTGGAGATAATAGTAGTAATAATAATAATAATAATAATAACAATAAAACTAAGATAATTCAGCAGTTCAAAAAGTGAAATATAGAGAAGAACTTGATAGATAAATCTAAGAAAAAAAAAATAGAGAAATGGAATAATAGTAATTAAGAAATTAATAAGACTATGTCAAAAGACCAGTCAGTAATCCAACTAATGGTTTAGATTTACCACAAGAATATGATTATAAAAATAATCTACCCCCTCAATCTCCTAACTATTATTAACCTCCTTAATCTGCACCTACAGATGATTAATAAAAAGGAAGATTCATGTAAAGAAGATTTACTAGTGGTTAGCCTGAAGATCCACAAAAGTAAGTTTAAAAGGAACAATATGCAGAAGAATTAAAAAGATAAATGGAGGAGAAAAAAAGAAAGAAAAAATAAGAAGAAGAAGAAAACAGAAGAAGGGATGAATTAGAATAATAACAATTTGAATAATAATTGTTACTTGAGAAAAAAAGACAAACAGAACAAGTAAAATAAAAATAAGCTGAATAATTTGATTAACAAGTTTAACATATTTAACAAAAAGAAGTAGAAAGAAGAGGGAAGTAAAATATATAAAATGAACAACATCATTAAGAAATTACTAAGAAATCTGCTTTATAAATTTAATCTCCTGAAAGTGACATCTAAAGAGAATAATTATCATACGTTTAAGATCAAAAACATTAATAATAATAATAGTATCTACCATAACAACAGCCTCAATATTAACAATATTCTTAAGAATAATAACCTATTTAATAAACACCTTATTAGCATAATCTCTATCATCCTCTTATGTCGCCACTTCAAAATAACTATAACCAATTTCCTCTCTAAGATAATTTATAACAATATCAGTAAGTGCTTTTTACCGATCAAAACTCACATCATCCTTAAGCTATAATGGTTCATTAATAATATTTAATGCAGCTTTAATAAAATAGATAGGAAATTGATCTAGTCAGACAAATATTAGAAGAAAAATTAAGATTATAATAAATAGAAATGTAGAATCAACTATTAATTGATTAATACTAAAGGAAAGTGATGGATGTTTAAAGAGAGTAAAAGTTATTTGAGCAGGAAATAATGAAATTGTAAGATTTTATTTAAGGAAAATAAAAACGTCCTTTGGATCCAACAGTCTTTGCATCAAGCGTTTTTTTTAATGCTTTAGGTAAAAAAGAGAATGTAAATTAAACACCACATTAATAAATAGCAAACATATAACCTATAAAAATATCTCCTTTCTAATCACCAACAGCTAATTCTTAAGCTCAATAATTTTAAAAATAAATTAAATAATCTGATATATCTTCTTAATATTCTCATCAATATTAAGAAGTAAATTAATTACTTCCTGAAAAGCAGTTATAAATTTATTCTTATTAACACTAATAACAATAATAATAATAATAATAATAGTAATAATAATAATAATAATAATAATAATAATAATAGTAATAATTACTAAAAATTAATAAATCAAAAGGAATTACAGAATCTATGATCGATAATGATGTTGAACTACCTGGAGAATCTGAGTATGTAAATTATACTGAGGAATAATTAGGTAAGAGTTTTATGCCTGAATATAGAGAATTAAAATTATAAAATCAATTATCTTAAAATTTCAAATAAACTAAAAATACGAAAAACTAATAATCATAATAATTTAAAACGCTTCAATCATAAAATTTTTCAAATAATGATTTTTAATTAAATTAATAATAAAAATCATCTATCACAAATGAAAGTTGTGAGTTACCAACTAATGCAATTTAAAAATCTATTCCTCCATAATTAAGTAGAGTGTAAGCTAGCGAGTATGTGTAAGACAATTTTAAAGATGAAGAAATTGATGAATCAAATAAAAATTCAGATGAAGAAATTTATGAATAGTAGGATTTTGAATCTGAAGAAGAAGTTGTTAATGAAAGAGATAATGATCACCTATTTGATTAGTAGGATGAATAGGATGATTAAAATGAGAATTCAGATAAAGAATAATATGATATTGAAATACCTAATCTATAGAATTATGATTTAAACATGTTAAAAACCTAAGAATATTATGCAATGTTTGTAGAAAATATAAAACCTTAATCAAGATAGTAAGAACTAAAATTTCCAACAAAATTACTTTAATAAAATACATTAAAGTTGCATAATGATACTATATAATAATCAAGTATGTGTGATTAAAGTGAGATTGTAGATAGTTAATTAAAATGTAATATAGAATAATAAGGAGATGTTGAAGAAGTGCAGATGAGTCAGGCTTAGTTTTCTGTATATTAGTAATCAATGGCAATACCAGAGGATGAAGAACCTTCCTAGCCTACTGCAACATAGAAAACACTAAAAAATTCAAGTAGAAAATATTAAAAACCTAAAACGGTTGATATTTTTAAAAATGAACAACCAAGAAATTCAAATCCATAATCTCAAAATTAAATTGCTCAACTTTAAGAGTAATCAAGATTTACAAATCAATAAATTCCAGATTAATCAAGATGTACAAATTTATAAATGCCTGATCAATCTCGTTGCACTAATCAAAATCCTATTGCTTCTTAAACTTTTTTGTATCAACCAAGAGTTGAATTAGTTAAATCCAGATTAGAAAATCTTTTTTAACATACTAATGAAATAATGCCAGATCTACCAAAAGTAAAAGTTGAGAAGATAGTGGCTGTTGATGATGATGAAATCAAATCTTATAAAATGGAAGAGAATTCTTAATGGTAGTAACAATTAGATTTGTTTGCCTACGAATAAAGCCATAGTTGAAATTAATTAAAAATATATATATATTCGTTAATGCACAAAATTCACTATTCTCATCAATAATCTCCTTCTAATACTCCAGGTTAGAGTTCATCCCCATCATAAAAGACTTAATTAGTACTCAAATAAACAAATAGAACTATAACTTCATAAGCAGAGAATACAGTTTGTTATAAAAAGAAAAGTAAAACAACTATGAATGCAGAAGTTGAATTGAAAAAACAAATATAAGTGTAGAATTAACAATACAAGGAATTAGCTTTAAAATATGAATTATCAATTTAGGAAATTTAAAAGTACTAAATGATGATTGAACGCAACAATTAAAAGCGAAATCATGAGAAATAGCAATTTCTATCTGAAATATCTATGTTAAAGAAATAATTAGAATAACGTAGTAAATCTCAAATAGATTTGCATGAGAATGGAAGTAAATAAACTGTAATAATTGTTATAGTTCTTGGACATTTAGTTAATGAAGTAAATTAAAAGGCTATTTTAATGGAATTATCTGAATATAAGGATAAATGTAAACAATTAGTAAATGAATTAGAAACAAAGAATCTTCAGTTAGATTAGTAAATTATATTATTAAATTTAAGTGTTACAAAGAAACTAATAAATACTCCTTCTTGTTAAGAATTGCTTAATTAAGTGCAAGAACTTACAAAAAAGTTGAATGAACAAGAAAGTAAATTGTTATAATATGAAATGCAATTAGAAAAATAGTAATATTATATTATTTAAAATTAGAACAAATAATAAATCTAAATTTTTATTTAGGGGAGCAGAATATTTCAATAAAAAGATTTTAGATGCTGATATATTTAGTTCTTCAAGTAATATATAATCGACAGTAAACTATAATTTAAAATTTAGATGTCAAATCAGAATGAAAACTCATCCTAGGGATTGTCAAGTTATATAAAGTTATGAAAATAATCTGAATTCGTTTTATATTATAATTATTATCATGAAAATATTAATGCTTTTGTTATTGGTGTTAGTGAATGTAAATAATCTGTATTAAGTCAGAGCATTCTTTGAGTATTTCCTTAGAACAAAATGATCTGGATGATACTGTGCTTTTACAAAAAGAAGAAACTTTAACACTATTAGATATTGCAAACGAACTGGAATAATATCATTTGTTTTAAGTCTTGGGTATGATGATAAAGATATAAAAAATAGGATTTGAGACTTAGGATAGATAAATGAAAAGGTTGGCAGTAGCCTCAATAATATCAATTTTAACAATTGCTGCATGTTGTGGGTGTTCATAGATAATATAAGCTTATTCAAAATCATGCAAGTAGAAACTTCCACCTCCAAAAAATTAATATAGAAGGCTAGAACAAAATGCAGACTCTTTATGAGAATTATTTCATGAATATTTAATTTTATTATATTGCTCCTCATAATTATTTTATGTGGAGATTAAGGGTTCAAAACCCTATATAGTAATCTTTTTATATTATAATTTATAGTATATATATCATCCAGCTTAAGGATATTAATTTTTAATACCCTTTTTTTAGTAAACTCCTGTAAATTCTTATTTTTAATGAGGAAGTGCTTTCATTGGTTGATTAGATTATGGGACTCTACTTTTGATTCCCAATTATTAGTTAGATTATTGCAATACCTATTTGATTGGATTGTTATTTTAACTATATGAGTTTTTACCTAACTTATTTGATGAAATTTCATCTAGATTATATTCTTTAATTACCTTTTGGAAATGGACGATTGTTAAAATCTGTTGATTTTTATTGTTCCTACAATGCTTTAAGTCCTCCAGTTAACTAATTAATACCGAAGTTCTTTCCCACTCCCATCCATTCATTTTCAAATTGATCAACTTGATCTTCTTCAATATTCATATAATTATTAGTAGTAGTGATTTACCCAGTTTTATCTCTTTCTCTGATATGCTTTCTTCCTTTATCATTCATCATTCTTTCATGTGCAAATCTATCAATCCCATCACTATTTTTATATCCTTGTTGTCTTTCACTTATCTATAAATATATAAGCCTGATATAATACTGTATGTCCATTTGCTCCCCTTGCAACAGCATTATTATCGAAATATTTCTCTTAAATGATTTTTCCATCAGGACCTAATTTTGATGATTAGACATAGCTGGATGAATATACTTAGAATACACCATTTTTTGCATGATTATTAATATCCATTTAATTTAAATTTTTCATGTGTCTATGGATATTCGAGAATTCCATCATCTCATTTTCTAAATCTCCAAAGCCTCTAAAAATTGATCCAAAGCCTAAATTAGCTAATTAATTATCCATTTATTGCATCATCTTATTAGACATTAAATCGAATTCCTAAAACATATTGAATGGTGTCATCTACTGATTGTTTTAACGTGACTATAACTTAATTTACATTCTTACATATGTTTAAACTTGATTTAATCTAGATGGTTAACTATTTCCTCTATATTGTTATAACATAGTTCGTTAAATATTTTTATTATAAAAGATTTCGAGAAATAATTAATTAATGAAACCATAACAAGACACGTCTACCGATCCCTTTGCATTTGCCTTCAATCCTCAAAATATTGAAAATACCGTCAATAAAGCTAAGAATACATTAGATAATCCCTTTATTGGGATGGCTTATGCTGGCCTTGGAAAGTAAATGAAAATAATATTTAAGAAAATTTTCTGGCATTGGAGACAAATATGATTCATTTCTGAATTCAGTATTCAGTAGTCAATATAGATTTTATTTTGATGTGGACAATATGTATGTAGTAAAGAAATCCATCATGACACTTGCACCTTATCTTTATGGAGGAAATTGGACATTAAGTAGCTATTTTCTATAATGATTTCAGATAGTGAATTTTAGGCTATTTCACCAACAGAGAATGTTCATGCTCCCGATCTTTATTTACCATTGATGAGTTTAGTAACATTTGTTCTCCTCAGGTGTTTAAGCCTTGGAATCAATAACAAGACCTAATTCAGTCCAGGTTACATAGTTGATTCCTTTTGGAAGTGCTTTGTCATATCCCTTTTAGAAGTAATAATAATAAAAATCGTTTTTTGCTTTTTAGATGGAATTAGGGTCAACACTGTTGACCTTGTTTCACATCTAAATTATAGATATTGCAGGTATTCTTTATTTTAATTTTTAGTTTATGCGCCTTAATGATATTCAATATTCTAACAAATGGCCTTTTTTCATTTTTTGGCACATTTTATGTACTTATTTGTTAGGGTATTTTTGTTTATAAAACATTACAAAGATATAGTCCATCACACAATTAGAGTGCACTTGGTATTAAATCAAATCATCTTTTAGAACTGAGTAGTTTTGGCTCCAAAATTACAATATTATTAGCATTGTTACAGCCATCTTGCTCTTGGATTCTATTGTCTTTTGGTTAATGAAATATATTATTATTTATGTCATAAAAATTTGGTCCACTTTAATTAAAAAAGAAAATTCAAAAAACTAATCCTATTGAAAAAAAACCCTAAATTCAATAAGAAGTATCAGATAGTAAACAATTTTTATATTTACAAAAGAATAAGAATAAGAAAATGAAAAATTTAAGAAATAATAATTCAATCCTGTTGAAATGGCTTAGTAAGGAGGAACAGGAAAGACACAAGCAGAAATACAGTATGATTTAGTTAGGTTAAAGAGATTAGGTGAGAAAATCGAAAAAGTAAACTTACTTATAAATATTTCTAGAAAATGGAGTTAACCTACAGACAAAAAATAGAAACATTCAACAAGAAAATTTAAAAGATGCCAGAGCATTATGATATACCAAAAGTTGGCCCAGGCTGATATTTATAATTCTGTTCTATTTTAATATTTATAACTAATTCTAATATTCTAAACTAAAAAATTTCGAATTTCATAATAATTATAAAAACTTACACCCATACTTTAAATACTATCATATTAAATTTATGCATAAATTTAATAACCATTACATTTAGTTTTATTATCTATTTTGTAAACTTAAACAATATATGAATTAAATTTTCTTCTTTTATAAATTATGATGAAATTGAATACAAATATTGTAAGTTAGTAATTATTAGATATATCATTTATATGCTTAATTCTTTAAGTTCTCTATTATTTTGAAAAACTATTCTGAAAACTAGAAATCAATTTTTATATTATATAATATATTATGAATCCATCAAAATTAAGTCATTCAGAATTGGGGAATTTTGATAAATATATAGAAGATCTATATAATGGTTAATTATTAAGTGAAAATGATCTAAAGCTAGTGTGTTAAAAAGTGTTAATATTTGCATTATTAATCAGGCCAAAGAAATACTCGTTGATGAACCAAATATTGTAGCAGTAAGAGCACCTTTAACAATATGTGGTGATATACATGGTTAATTTCATGATCTAATCGAATTGTTTCGTATCGGAGGCAGATTGCCAGTATTTTTAAGAAAATTTATTAAGGAAACAAATTATCTCTTTCTTGGCGATTATGTAGACCGTGGTTCTTAAAGCGTCGAAACATTTAGTCTTATACTTTGTCTAAAAATACGTTATAAAGATAGGTTGACTGTTTTGAGAGGTAATTAGTTAAATTAAGATAGGCAATCATGAAAATAGAGAAATTAATAAGATTTATGGATTTTATGATGAATGTTAAAGAAAGTATGGAAATGAGATAGTATGGAAGCACTTTACAGATGTTTTTGGATATTTGCCATTAGTGGCTATAGTTGAAAACAGCGTAAATAGTATTTTTATTACTAGATATTCTGCACTCATGGAGGTCTATCACCAGCAATAGAGACAGTTGATTAGATAAAACAATTAAATAGAATTTAAGATATCCCACATGATGGTGCAATATGTGATTTATTATGGAGTGATCCAGAAGAAACAAAGATGGGATGGGGTGTTTCTCCTAGAGGTGCAGGATGGACATGGGGTTAAGATATAACAGATAAATTTTTACATCAAAATAAATTGAAATTGATTGCTAGAGCACATTAATTAGTAATGGAAGGATTTTAGCATGTTCATCAACGAAAAACAGTTACAATATTCTCAGCACCAAATTATTGTTATAGATGTGGAAATCAAGCTTGCATTGTAGAAGTTGATGATCAGCTAAAAATGAGTTTGTAAATTATTTAACTATAAAAAGCTCATAATATGAACCTGCTCCAAGAGATAATGAACCTTAGACAACGAGAAGAGTACCAGAGTACTTTTTATGATTTAACAATTAAATATATTTTATTCAATTATTCACTGATGGTAGCATTTCATAAGTGAATCCTCCTNTTTAGTTTTATTATCTATTTTGTAAACTTAAACAATATATGAATTAAATTTTCTTCTTTTATAAATTATGATGAAATTGAATACAAATATTGTAAGTTAGTAATTATTAGATATATCATTTATATGCTTAATTCTTTAAGTTCTCTATTATTTTGAAAAACTATTCTGAAAACTAGAAATCAATTTTTATATTATATAATATATTATGAATCCATCAAAATTAAGTCATTCAGAATTGGGGAATTTTGATAAATATATAGAAGATCTATATAATGGTTAATTATTAAGTGAAAATGATCTAAAGCTAGTGTGTTAAAAAGTGTTAATATTTGCATTATTAATCAGGCCAAAGAAATACTCGTTGATGAACCAAATATTGTAGCAGTAAGAGCACCTTTAACAATATGTGGTGATATACATGGTTAATTTCATGATCTAATCGAATTGTTTCGTATCGGAGGCAGATTGCCAGTATTTTTAAGAAAATTTATTAAGGAAACAAATTATCTCTTTCTTGGCGATTATGTAGACCGTGGTTCTTAAAGCGTCGAAACATTTAGTCTTATACTTTGTCTAAAAATACGTTATAAAGATAGGTTGACTGTTTTGAGAGGTAATTAGTTAAATTAAGATAGGCAATCATGAAAATAGAGAAATTAATAAGATTTATGGATTTTATGATGAATGTTAAAGAAAGTATGGAAATGAGATAGTATGGAAGCACTTTACAGATGTTTTTGGATATTTGCCATTAGTGGCTATAGTTGAAAACAGCGTAAATAGTATTTTTATTACTAGATATTCTGCACTCATGGAGGTCTATCACCAGCAATAGAGACAGTTGATTAGATAAAACAATTAAATAGAATTTAAGATATCCCACATGATGGTGCAATATGTGATTTATTATGGAGTGATCCAGAAGAAACAAAGATGGGATGGGGTGTTTCTCCTAGAGGTGCAGGATGGACATGGGGTTAAGATATAACAGATAAATTTTTACATCAAAATAAATTGAAATTGATTGCTAGAGCACATTAATTAGTAATGGAAGGATTTTAGCATGTTCATCAACGAAAAACAGTTACAATATTCTCAGCACCAAATTATTGTTATAGATGTGGAAATCAAGCTTGCATTGTAGAAGTTGATGATCAGCTAAAAATGAGTTTGTAAATTATTTAACTATAAAAAGCTCATAATATGAACCTGCTCCAAGAGATAATGAACCTTAGACAACGAGAAGAGTACCAGAGTACTTTTTATGATTTAACAATTAAATATATTTTATTCAATTATTCACTGATGGTAGCATTTCATAAGTGAATCCTCCTATTCCTAATACTATTAATATAAACATTCCAGAATAAAACACACCTGGTATTAAAAGCATAATTGCTAAAATAAAAATGGGATAAGTCTCTCCTAAACCTTTCTCTTGATATTGAATTATTCCTTATTCTGTAAATAATATTCCTGCACTCAAAAGAAAAAACGATAAAACTATTGTTTTATAAGGTCTATTGTATCTAATTCGAAGTGGAGGAGGAGATTCAGATCTTACTATTCTTTTTTTGTTAAGAGGACGTGTCTCGCTGTAATCCTTCATTTTTATTTTATATTTTTACAACTTTTATAATAATATATTTTTCCATCAAATAGTAACATTCAATAATAAGCATCTAATACTGTAATTGAATAACTGATTTATATAAACCTTCTTTTTCATATAATAATTGTATTAATCTGAAAATAAAAAATATAATTTATAAGTAGAATAAATTATCTCAAAAAATAATACAAAAGATTGATAGAGATAACATTATTAAATGTTATAATAGAAAGATTTTTATTATTAATATCTTTTGAAAATATATTTTTTAATTACTCATTGTTTATAAAATTTAAATTCATATTATGTTGTTTGATCATTAATTTTAAATATGGGCTAGATTTCTTTTTCTAAACAACACTAATTGTATTCAATTGTAATAGAAAAATTAAATGTAAAGTCTTGTTTCAAAGAAGATCTAATGATGATTTCTAATATATAACTTAACAATAATCCTCTCATGATTATATCAATTATGGTTTTACTATATAATTTTTATCTATTTGTTGACCAATTAACAATAATATTTTTATCAATCAATTTAATGTTTCCACAAAAAGTTTCAATTGATGATATACTTCTATTCAATTCTTTATTAACTTATGCTTCAATCTCTTAATTTTATCCAATCAAACTAAAGCAAGTCCTTTTATGTAATTCTATAAAATGAGGAGATGATGTAGTTAACATTATTAATTCTGAATATGCTTATTCATCATTCATATTTCTTGCAAACCCTTATTAATAGAATAAAATTTAATTTCTTAGATTTTGTTTCTTGTCTTCAGTGAACATCTTTTGTCCAGGAATCACTACATCAAATAGCATTTATTTTACAAAACAACAAACCAATTATTTATAATTTGTTACCAATGGACCTGTAGCCTTATTGATTGATAAATTATCAAGTGATACTCTACTTTCACTTTCGTTTTTCATTAATCTTAATAAAGAACATGTTTGGAATATTAATATTGATAATTTAATAATTCCCTTTAATATTTTGAATTTGAAATGAACTAACAATAATATAATGAAATGTTTACAGCATTCTAAACAAACAAGATTTTAGTTGAATAATTTGATATTTACCTCAAGTAAAAAGTATTGTTATTGATTTTTATGAAGTGTGGACATTTTTATGATGAGCATTTGTTTTAATAATTAATTGAGGTATCTTTAAACAATGGAGTAATAGATTTAGAGAGTTTTATTAATTAATATAATGAGACTGTAGATACTTTATAATATCGTTCAGAAATATTAAATAATAAGATCAAAGAATTAAAAATATTGCATCAATAATTGAGTGATTAATTAAATTCAGATGCACTTTAACAGAACTCTTTAACTCTTTAAATTATGGATTGTTAAAACATTGAAATTAGAGATCCTAGTGTATATTTATAAATTTGTTGTGGAATCAAAACACATAAAACTAGAACAATGAAAGGAATAAGTCCATAATTTTAAGAATAATTTGAATTTCCCATAGACTCTAGTTGTTAAGATGTCATTATAACTCTTTTTGATAGTGTAAGAAATTGAATAAATTTTAGATGAATGATAATATGATTGGATATACACAATTTTTAATTTCTGAACTTAGAGAATAAAAATTAAAAGATATTAGTGTTAATTTATAAAGATAGGATAATATGAAAATCAAAACTAAATTACATGTTATTTTAAAATTTAATCATTCAAAAGTAAGTTTTCTCTAATTTAGGAAAGCCTATACAAACAAGAGTAATAAAAATTAAATCATGAGATAAATTAGAATAATCTGGAGATTAAAGAAACATAATAAGCCTTAAATTGTTTAGCAAAAGTATTTAGTGGAGGATGCATTAAAATCAGATAATTGCCTCCTATTCTAGAAATTAAAGAATTTGAATTGAAATGTTTAGATACTTTAAATGAAGCATTATAAGAAAGAATACAAGATTGGGTACCTTTATTTTATAAATTAATTGGATTAGTAGTTGCACTATCTGTTATGATTAGTTTGTATAGATGTTAATTTATGGAAGTATTAAACATTTCATCAATATTAGTTAACTTTATTAGCATTTATGATGTAACTATTAATTCTTAGAGAAATTAACTAAAAATGGATGAGAGTATTCACATATCTATTTGCTGTCTTGTTTCTTTATGATCTACTCTGGTTATACATATGTGGAGGAGTAATTATTTTAATAATTTTAGAGCTATGGTATAACCAAAGGAGAACAACACATTAACAAATTTGTTACAGCATTAAGTTATGTTGAACTCTTAGCTAAAATTCCATTTACTATAGTTTTGTGGAAACATTCAGTAGAGTTTGAATAATTTTTATCATATTTTATATGATCATAAATTCTTCTTAAAAAATTCCTTAAATTCCTATAATGACATTTAATCGTGTAGCACTCCACAAAACTTTAAAACATCTAAATATATTATTATAATTACTCTGAATTTCTTCCTCATTAGTATTATCCTTAAATTTTTAAAATACTTTCCTTATTTTTTTTGAATCAATATGACCAGATTTATCATAATCAAAAATAGCAAATGCACTTTCTAATAGTTCATCATGTTAGTCTTTATTAGACATACATTCATTAAAAAGTTCAGAAAAATCTGAAAATTACATAGTTGTCTTATTATTAGGGAAATATCTATGTGTGAATAATTATATACTTTAGTTCGGTTACTGATACATAAGTTGGGGATTTAGGAGAACTATCTTTTTAACCATCTTCTAAGTTGTCATTTGAATTTCCTTTTTTAGCCAATCTTCTTCCTGGTTAAAAAGGTACATTAATTGTTTAAGAATCCATATTTATTGTTTCTAAATCTTTTATCAATTAATTTATTTGAGCTATATTTATATCTTCTCCTCCATCTTAAGAAAACAACTAAAAAATCTATCTAAGTTCCTACTAGTTTGTTTATTATTATTATTACATTCTATTTAAAATTAATATTATATAATCAAAGTAAATATATGATGATTTCAGTTTGTAAAATAGTAGTTAAAATATATTCTATATTGAATAGAATATTTAAAAAGTAGATGTTTAATAACAAGATTATTTTGAATTTATTTAGAGTCCCATTAAAGTAAATATTATATATTTTTAATTAATAATTTATAATAGCAATCTATAAACATAAACTTATTTATCATCAAGGTTTCGTAATCTATATTAAATATAAATATTTAATACCTTTTTTTATGTAGATTATTTCTTTAATTATCCTATTTCCTGATTTTGTCTAGATAGTCCTGCTTTTGCATAACCATTATTTCCGGAATTAGTTGAATTACTAACATAATTAGATTCAATTTATTATGGTTACTATTATTATTATTTTTCAGTTTCTTAAATATTTTAGGTTTACTATTGCTATTATTATTATTATTATTATTATTATTATTATTATTATTATTATTATTATTATTATTATTATATTGTTTATATTGTTTCCTGTATAATCATAATTTAATCAGCATGTTCATTAATATTTTTTTAAATTGCTTAGGTAAAATCAGTCATTTTTTCATTTAAATTAATAATTTCTTTAGTTTACTCTTATTTAACAAGACTTATTTAAGTTTAAAAATGTTATGAAAAATCATCGAGTTATTCTAACTTAGATAAAGTTTAGGACTATATTTATATTTATTCTGTATTTTTGCTTTCAAAAAACATTCTAAGTTACTAGAATTAAGTTTGAAGCTCATATTAATAAGTTAAAATACATCTGAGAATTATATTTAAATATTCTTCTACTCTGATTCTAAATTTTAAATTGAGAGATTGCAATTTTATTCTAGTTCCTTAAAATTATTAAAAATTTAGTTGGTTTGATTTTCTTGTTCAGCAACCAAATTATTTAAGTTTTAACTATTTCCAATTAATTTGGCATTAAACTTTATATATTTAATCAATTTACTTATTCTACAATTTCCAAATGTTAATCATCAGAACTAACATTTCCAATTTTATTAAATTAATACTATGAGTCATCATCTTATCCTTGTTCTATTATATCTAAATTAATTATCTTTATATTAATACTTAAAGCCTGATAATGGTGGGATGTGTTTATGGTGGATTATTGTTATTTCAATTTCCTAAAAAAATTATCATAATCTATGAGTACTTGATAACTACTGACTAATAAACAATCCATACAAAGTTGACAATTTGAAATATTAAAAGGAATGATTCAAATTTTGTTAATTGATCCATTATTTATATAATATAATTATAAAAATTATCATTTAATATTTCATGATTTTAATCAAATTCTCAATTCTATTATTTAAAAATAAGCATTATCCTAGTTTCTTATATGTTTATTATTTAAACAATAATAATAATTATAGCTATATTAATTCAAAAAAGAAAAGAAAAGTAAATACATAATTTGTTTTAAGTAGAACCTAAAATCAAATTTATATTGATAAAACTAATTTATAGAATCAAAAGGAAAGTGATTTGATTATAAACGACATTAATTATAAAATTTATAGAAATGATACGTAATGAATTTGAGTTCACATTAAATTTAATTTACTGCTGAAAGCATTTGGTTATGAAGATAATTGAGGAAATCAAATATTAGGTTGAATTGGAGATGAAGAAAATATTTGGAAAGTGTATTGAAAAACGATATGCGAAAATAACTGAATAGCTAAAATAAGAATGTATAAAAAATGTTATTTAGAAAGGTAAAACAATACGGGAAGTATGTGATTATTAATATAATAGACTTCCTAATAATTATCAATAAATTATTCTTCTGCAAAATCTATCTTAGCAGATTATAGAAAATCTTAGAAGGGAATAAAATTACAATATCATTTGGAACCAAGATAAGTCGAAGTTAATGATTAATATGATTGGAAAAAATTTAAAATTTTAACATATTGTGAAGACAGATAAATTAATGAATATACAATGGATACATTTGCTTAGATAATAAAACAAACTTCTATAAATAATG